TGTTCATTGATGTCGATTTTGGCATTGACATGCAGTCAAGAAGTTTGTATCATAATTATTTCAACTATTATTTCTATTTTTTTTTTGTTAATATAATAATAAATAATTATAATTATAATTTTTTCAAAATTTTTAGTTGCCATAGTAGGTAACAACGGAGTTGGAAAGAGTACACTGTTGAAGTTGCTGCTAGGAGAGCTAGAGCCTGTAATAATTCTTATAATTTTATAACTATATTTCATATTTATAGTAATAATAATTATTATTATTATATTATTTTGGAAGTTTTTACGCTGTGTTTTTATATTTCATAGAACAAAGGAGAAAGTAGAAAGAACCACAGATTGGTGGGCGTTATATTTTTGCTCTTTCGTTCTCTTATTTATTTCGTTCATTCAATCAATCATATATTTATATATCCATTTATTCATTCATTCATTCATTCATTCATTCATTCATTCATTCATTCATTCATTCATTCATTCATTCACCATGAAATAAATTTTCCTACAGACAATTTTTCACAAAATTGTGTGATTGCATTACATTTCACAAGCATATAATTCGTTATACTGCATTACCAGTTATAATTCAGTTATAATTCATCACACCGTAATTCTTCACATTACACCATAATTCATTACATTACACCGTAATTCTTCACATTACATCATAATTCATCACATTACATCATAATTCCTCACATTACATCATAATTCATCACATTACACCATAATTCATTACATTTGACATTACCATTCATTGCAGAGAATCGGAAAATACAATCAGCATTCAGCTGACCAACTCAACGTTAATGTATCATCCGTTGAATACCTCGTGGTGCGTCCATCTTTATTAGGATTTTATTATTTAATTATATTATTTTGATAATTATTTATTATTATTAATTCATATTTTTATCATTTCTCTACTTTTCAGACGAAATATAACTTGGACTATCAGGAGTCGCGAAAAATGTTAGGCAGGTTTGGCCTACCGGGCCACACACACACCATACCCATCAGAGATCTGTCTGGCGGCCAGAAATCGCGTGTGGCATTTGCGGATTTGAACTGTAGCAAGCCCGATGTACTCGTTTTGGTCAGATGGTTTTTCAAAGTTTTTAAGATGTGTTGTTTTTGTTTTTGTTGGCGTGTGGCAGTGTTTTTGATGTCTTAATTCGTTGTTGTTGTTATTCTTTTTTTCGTTTCAAATCAGGACGAACCTACAAACAACCTTGACATTGAGTCTATAGATGCCTTAGCCGAAGCTATCAATGAGTTCACTGGAGGTAAGGAGGAAGTTGTTGTTTGTTTAGCTGTCAACTGATGATTAGACAGTTCACTAGTCAATAAATCAGTTGAGTTAATAATGCGATTAATTAGCAAAAAAACTGAATTGTCAGGTGTGGTGATAGTTAGTCACGACGAGCGTTTGATACGAGACACGAACTGTCAGTTGTGGGTGGTTGAGGATCGCAACATCGCTGAAGTCGAAGGGGACTTTGATGATTATAGGATGGAATTGTTGAAATCATTGGGAGAGGAAGTCATCATTAAGCCAAAATCAGAAGAGAAATAATTTTTTTTTAACTTATTTTGTTTTTGCGACGATTTAGATAATATTTTCGTTGTTAGCTCTGACTGTGTTGTAAATTTTTTACCCGAACGCTTAAATAAAACGTTAGTGGTTCTGCGTGTGTCAGAGCTGCAATGATAAAAACTAAAAATATTAAACCGTGTCGGTTAGAGTGGTTTAAAAAATTTCGGAGTATCGATATTACCGAAGTATGGAACATTTCGTAGCATCCCTGCGCAATTAGTTTTTAAATATCAACATGGCCGGCACGATTCGCCAGTAACGCTCTGCCTCTGATACGTTGTTAGGTTGCATCTATTTTTCAACTGGTACATTGATTTTATGATGTTCGTTTGCTAAAAGCGCTGTTGATTGGTCGGAAATTTTGTCATCGATGTAAGTTTTTTTTCTTTTCGTTCGACGAAATCATTGGCAAATTACACTTTTTTTTATTTAATTTTAAAATATTTTAAAATTTAACCAGTTGTATGACATGACAAGGTCGTTGATTCATAATCTAAAAACAAAAATTGGACAGTGTGTATCTGCCTATCTATGAAATTTCTATGACCTATGTGATGACAATCCTATTGAAAATTAATAATTGAATTGAGTTCTTTTCTAGAAATTGTAGCTTATGCCAAATTGATTCATTAACATTAACTTAACCTACCAATGACCGACAGTATAACTTTTTATTCCAACAAGGTCTACTAAATTATTTGTTGGCAACATACCTCGGAACTGTAATTCACAGAGTTTGAGGACCCTGTTTGAATCAGTTGGGAGAGTATCTGAATGTGATATTGTCAAAGATTATGCATTTGTGGTTTGTTTGTTCTCATCAACCTTTTACTACTGCTGCCACACCTTAGAAATTTTTGATTTGAATTCTTTTTATTTGAAAATTTACTCAATTACTTCTTACTTCCTTACTTGGTGTCACTGTTACATTAATTATTTGATTATTTTTATTGTAAATAAAAACTAATTTGTCAACTATTTAACTGACTTGTCTATCTATCTATGTAGTTGCAGTACCGTTTTTTACTTCATTATTTATAAATTTATATTTTTCAAGTTCTCAAAACTACTTTACCTTTTACGGTTATATCAGATGAAGCTCCATTTTTATTTAAATTTAAAGTATTTCTTTAAATATCAGATCAAACTTCATTTTTATTTAAAGTATTTCTTTAATGAATATTTATATTTTTGCAGCACTATGTCAACCCACATGATGCAGAAAGGGCATTAAAGTTTCTAGATGGAACTAATTTTCAAGGCTGTAACCTCAGGATTCAGGTTGCTGTGTTTTTTTTCTCTAATTATTCATAATTCATTTATTTATGACATTAATATTTATTGTAAATAATAATCCAACATTATTATTATCACCAAGAAATGTTTTAATTTCATCATAGATCTCTTTTGTTAACTGAACTAGTGATATTATATAATTTAATTGATTATCACTGAGTATGAAATGAATAGTGATAAACATTTATTTGCATAGGTATCCCATAGCAAGGTTCGTTCTAGGCCTGGTATGGGTGATAAGGATGTTTGCTACAGGTGTGGAAAAGAGGGTCACTGGTTTGTATACTTTTTGTATCTTTTGTATATTATGTCTGTTTTTTTTGTATCTTTTGTGTTGTTAGAAGGACACTGGTTTGTGTACTTTTTGTATATCTTTTGTACATCATGTTTGTATTTTTTGTATCTTGTGTTTTAAATTTGTTAGTTGTTTTTTGTGTGTTTGAATGTTTTGCTTGTTATTTTGTTGTATGTTTTTTCTTTTTTTGTGTGTTTGTATGTATGTGTTTTGTATAATGGTATGATGCTTAATTGTTGTTTAGTTAATCTTTGCAAGTTAACCTTTTTTATATGCTTTATGAGGTCTTATTTTGTTTATTTCTGTCTTTAACTGTGATTGTACAGTACATGTGTATCAAAAATGACATTATTCTTTGTAATGTATGTATTGTCATGTTTGTATTAAATGACTTTTCAATTCATATTCTACCAGGTCTAAAGATTGCCATTTAGAAAGGTAAGTCAAGAAATTCTCATCAAGTAGCATTTCTTATATTGAATTCTATTACCCTTGCAGTGGAGTAGCTATAATTTTATTTGTAGCATTACTCTTAACTGTAGTATTGTTATTTGTATTGGTGTTACTGAATTATGGTAGTGTAGTTGTAGTAATTGAGGTAGTGGTGGTTGTTGAAGTGGCAGTAAACTGTTGTTGAATCTATTATCAAATGATTGTGGATGACTATTTCAACAGAGAAACAAGGGGTGCAGTAGTATTGTTATTTGTATTGGTGTTACTGAATTATGGTAGTGTAGTTGTAGTAATTGAGGTAGTGGTGGTTGTTGAAGTGGCAGTAAACTGTTGTTGAATCTATTATCAAATGATTGTGGATGACTATTTCAACAGAGAAACAAGGGGTGCTTTTACAGGAAGAGATGATGATAAGAGGAGAGAGAACAATGCCAAACAACTCTCTGGTTAGGGAAATGAATGAATGAATTAGTGATTGAATTTTATGTGTGTTCTGGATGAATGAATGAATGAATGAATAAATGAATGAATGAATAGGTGAGTAGATATATTTTGTGTATTTATAAATACATAAATTATTTACCCAGGTCAAGTGTATATAGAGTCTCGCATATCAACGCAACAACCTCAGCATCAACTACAACAGCAACAAACCCAGCAACAGCAACTTTTGCTATCCCAACATCACCAGCAACAACAACAACAGCAGCAGCAACAACAACAACTTCTAACTGAACGTTTCAACCCGTACGAACGAAAACAAGAAATGCCAATCACGTTTTCGGGTTTTTCCCTGGAATTCCCGACTCAGGCTGCTTTTCAGTCATCTATCTACCAGCAACGAGAACCAATTGACAACAGAACCACCACAAATTTTAATGGTTCTACCAATCTCCTCTTCCAGAGTTCATCGAATGCTCTCTTCACAGCTGCAGCCACCAATCCAGCCTACCAAGATGCCACACAAGCTACTTTCCCAACAGCCGTCAATATACGGTCTGCTCATTTGTTTTGGCTTATTAACTTTTTATTCATTTTATTCAATATTAAATGTCAATTTTTGAATGATGAACACGTTTTTTTTTGCGAAAATCCAGCTTCTCTAATAATCAATTTTCACCTAATGAAGGTATCCAGTTGCAAGCAACAGCACATACCAAACGTCTGCCGGATTGATTGGTTTCGAATCCGCGAATCCTCTCCTTTCCAGTCTCCACAACAATAGGTTCATCACCACAGGCTCCACCAATGTCATGTTCCCCCAAGCGGCCGATGCCATTAGTAGGGCATCTGCTGAGTTTTATGCACAAAGGTGTCGGTTTGTGTGTTTTCTGTGTGTGTGTTTGTGTGTGTGTGTGTGTGTGTGTGAATGGTTGGTTAAGTTTTTGTTTTCTGACTGATCTACTAGATGAGAAGTTACGTATGGACAGTGAAATGTTTAATTAATTGTATAATCTAACAAAGATGTTGTTGTTGCTGTTGTTGTTGTTGTTGTTGTTGTTGTTGTTGTTGTTGTTGTTGTTGTTGTTGCGTATGATTACGTTGATAAACGTGTTGTTTCAATGCACACAGGACGCCTGTTTTTGGCATGGAAATCAATGGAGGGTGAGTTGTTTTTACATCTTGAAAAAATTTTCTAGCCTCAAACTCCGTCTGTTGTTTTGAAATTATATCAAAGGTATTTATCAAATCTCAAATTAGGAACTCAAATATGTAAATATGACTTCATCCATTCCTTAAATAAAATTGTTGTATTTATCCTCCAAGCAGGGTTGACATAACATCGTATCTGGACGCAAGGAGGTACTAAGGATCTCATACAATCACACACATACACATACACACAAATACACATACATACAAATACACACACACACACATGCATTCACACAAATACACGCGCATACATACTCATACGCGCGTGTATATATACAAATACACAGTACTACTTTACTGTAACCAGCGCTCCACCACCAATAGTACACACTCAACGACACGGTATTCATCTTTGTATTGTACCTGTGCGTACATGTGTACTTAATAATGTGGTATTCGTGCGGTATATATATATATATATATATATATATATACTATTTTTCATTTATATATCATTATTTTTTATCGCTGGCGTGAATCGTGTTAGTAAATTTTAGACGTGAAATTTTTTTTCGTATTATTAAGAAGTTTTAACGTAAAACCATGCATACCCATTTGCTTAGGTTTGAATATGATCGTCTAAATTCTAGTAATATTGTTTTGTGCGCCGAGTTTTATTTTATCATTTTATTTCAGTTTGTTGTTTTTGACTTATCTTATTGTCGGTGTATTGTACCACTTCTAATAAACTTCTATTTTCACTACATGCCAAGTTTTTCAATCGAAATCCTCATCTAGTGAGACGAAACTCTCTGAAGCAAATCTCAGCTAGATTTATTTTTTTCATCCCAGTACTAACTCAACCAAGTGAGTATGTAAGCGTTTGAAATCTGTATAGATATACATAGTTTCTGACAGATCATATGTGCTGTCAATAACGTATATGTATATATATACATCGTATGTAGGTAGGTATACGCTTGTTTCTCTGTGTGTGTCTGCTTGTATACGTATGTGATTGGTAAACTGATATAGCAATTATCCAGTTGATGTGTTTTGTCCTGAGTTCAACTTCACACAGGGGCAATCCTTTTTAAGAGTTAGTTCTATGTGTGCGTGTGATTGCCAGCGGACGTGCGTTGGGTGAACTTTTCAAAGGAATGTGAAAGAATGACTATATTTTTGCCCAATGTCGTTGATGATAAACTTGGGATTGGATGTTTACTTGCTGGCTTGTTTAAGGATGGACGAGTTTTTGAAATGTTATATATATAGCAGTTCTAAATATCAAATCCTCACATTTTGTGAAAAGAAGAAGAAGAAACTGCCCAAACTTTGAGCGCGTTACCTGTTGATTTGAAGAAATTCAGCGCCATAAATTGAGCTGAAGTGACTTCAAAAAGCGTCATAAAAATCATTTATTCAGCCTGCCACAGTGAAGAGTTTGAAACTGGTTCACTCGCGACAGGCGCTGTATATGCTCTGCGCTATGATATATATATATATATATATATATATATATATATATAGGTACAAGACGTTGATAGTATTTTTGTTGTTGTTGCCGCGTTGTTCTTACATGAATTTTTATTAATTTTCATCGAGGAGATTTTTACAATGGTGTTGCTGTTGTTACGAAAATATGTAAACAACTAACATCATCTCTTTTTTTTCAATTTAACTTTCGGTGTTAGCAGATAGAATGTCCTAATTTTATTACCTAAACATATATATGTATTTATGTGTATATATATGTGTGTGTGTATATATAGATACACATACCATCGATGTATCACGTTGTTGTTATTACCATTGTTGTCATTGTTATATATTTGTTTGTGTTTTAATCTGGTTATATTTTAAATAAACTAATGTTTTAAATATTTTTTTTTTCAATTGAGTTGAGTTTATCTCTTGTAGAGTTGACGGTGTTCTTATTCAGATGCTTTGGTAGTTTTTGTTTTTGTTGTTGTTGTTTACGTGAGTATTGGTCTGTATTAGTGAGTTATTTATTTTGGTGGCGTCGTTCATTTGTTTATTATATCCATTTAGGTAGTTTATTATTTATATCCTAATTGGTATCGTGTTTATCTATATTTTTTTTTAATCTTAGAAACAATTCCAGATATTTTACTGTGCTCTAAAAACCTTACAGCAAACACGTACACACACACACACACGACAAACACACACATATTTATATAACAAATGTGTGTTTTATTTTTTCGTAACTTCTAACAAAGGTGTACATCAGTTTGTGTGTGTGTTTTTTTTAAAGTAAATTCTTAATACAGTGTTTGCTGTTAGTATCAATGTTTATTTATGGACGAATTTATACTATATTTATTGGGTTTGTTATCTATTTATTTGTCTGTTTATTTGTTTGTTCGTTAATGTTTCTAAAATTTCACCCACCATTCAAAATTTTTTTTTGTCATTATTGAGTTATATATTATGTGTATTTATTTATATGTGCTACTTTTATATATATTTTTACTCCAGTTTTCTTTTCAAACTATAATGCTTCTTAAATCACTTCATTCGTTTATATTACGTTTCCAGTTTAAAATTTTTTTACACACACACACATGTATGTATATATGTATATATATATATATATATATATATATATATATATATATTATACAGAATTGTATGAATTCTACCGAATTGTTGGCATTAATCAATTTAAAGCTTGTCTTTTCAATTTTCCTTACTAGAATTTTCTGGTAATTGTTCAATTTATTGAAAATAGAATTATTATCCAAGTTCGTCATTAAAATTTAATGAAGCTGTTGTTATCCAAGAAAGGCCTTATTTCGATTTTTCACAAATCATTCTCAGTGCAGCTTTGGTTTATATAACTATATAGCTAGACTGCAGATGATTTGTGAAAAATCGAAATAATGTCCATCTTGGATAACAACAGTTTTATTAAATTTTTATGATGAATAATAATTCTATTTTCACTAAATTGAACAATTTCTAAAAAATTCTAGTAAAGAAAATTTAAAAGACAAACTTTAAATTGATTAATGCCAACAATTCGGTAGAGATCATACATTACTGTGTAAAATATGGTCTCCTCATAGCATATATGTGTATATATATATTATAGAAAATTTACATACATATATATATTTATATTTGTACACCCTATTTAACTTTCATTGGCTAACAATCAGAAAAAGAATATTGTCCAAAATCGCCATTCTGGTGTTGAAATTCTCATACGGTGTACCCTCACACTATCTTTCGAGAAATTTGTCATATAAAACAGCAACAGCTCGTCGTATTCCGACACATACGGATGATAAATTGGCCACTAGTGGTTTTGTAGTCGCAGGTCCAACAGTTTGCCGGGCAGTCTGCGTAGGCCAGGATTGATGCCGGACAGTCTACGTCAACCCGGATTGACTGTTCAACATTTTCGCAAAGAACTGAAAGCGTTTTTCTTTATCCACCAAGCTCCAGAAGCGTTTTTAAGTATTATCATAGGGCGCTATATAAATTCTAAAATGCTAAAATTAAACTTTTTTTTCATAAAATTTCTGAAAAATTATCTCCTTATCTACCTTCAACAAATGATGCTAAATTGTTATTTTTATTAATTTGGTCGAACAGTATTAAAAAAATAATGACCTCGTAGTAGTAAATATTATAATAATTATTTATTATTATGATTAATATTATTATTATGTTTATATATATATATATATAATCATGACTGGAACGATAAAATTGATAACTGATGTATAATAATTAAATAAGCTTCATTGGTTACACATCACATGTTAACACAGTACGCACGTTAATAATTACAACGCGAATATCATTTTATCGTTTTACCGTATTATTTCTATTATATATATATATATAATTTTACACTATGAAAATAAAGAAAGTTTTATTGTTGTTTTTTGTATCTCCTCGTCTCGTCGAGTTGGTATTTTATTTTAAAGTTGACTAATTGGGATAGATAATGTTTTTCAAAATAATTGAATTCCGAAAAGTTTTTTTTTTCCTGAAGAATTATTTAATTTACTATGTTTAAATTTTATTTCAGATTTAATTTATAAAATAATCAAATTAAATTTACAAATGATAGATAGAGCATATATAAACCTTTTTCACATAAATACATTAACATTCAATATGAATCTTATCGGCAGTTGAAGTTCGTTTAAGCGTGTTTATAACTCAAAAATCTTCAAAAATAAAACATTTCTAGTTAATCATTTAATTAATTATCGAATTAATTAATTTCTTTAGGTTATACCGTCGAAATTTAAATTTCTTTTTGAAACTTTTCAAAGACTTCGGTTTTTTTCTGCTTGCTGATGGGGATAGTTTCTCTCACTTCCTCCAGATAATTTAAGTCTAAAATAAACGATTTAAAACTATTTAAATTAACCCTATAAGCAATACAACATTAACCATGGTTTATTTTGTCAACGTATATCATAATTTACGCAATTCACAATGCAATGCGACATACAGTTTAGTATGGTATGTATAATTTAGAAATAAAATCTATCTTACCGATGTCTGCAACGATTGTCTTGTCAGTTTCATCTGCTTTTGTTACTATTTCACCCCTTTGAAGTTAATTATTATAGCAAAAATTAAATTATAAATTAAATTATCTATAACTCTATACTTTTTCAACAACCTATACTTCAGTTTTAAGTTTGGTCAACAAACAAACAAATAAATAAATAATATATTAACCACTTTATAAGATAAATTTAAACCAAACAAAACAAAAATTAATTAAGACAGCGTGACGGTATTATATAATGGTTAAGACGTTTGGCATGGAGGCAAATGCAAAAAGATACCAGAAAGACATGACGCATGCATCCATTTACACTAGAAAAAAAATTGTAAATTTAAGAAAAAACTGAAGTCTGACCACGGATTGACAACAATGGAGTGACCGTACGCCACGAAGGAAGCAGTGAGACATCTGGACGGGCTGACGGCAGCCACGTAGCACTGGTTATCCAGTGCTCTACCCCTTGTCAGTATCTCCCAATGGTAAGGACCCGTTGCCATGCTGAATGCCGCCGGATAGATCAGTAACTTGCAGCCTGAGAGAGTGAGAGAGAGTGAGAGTAATTGAATGAGTAAGTGATTGAATGAGAGTGATTGAGTAATTGAATGAGTGAGTCAGTGAGAGATTGAGAAAGAATAAGAAAATGATTAAAATTACCCAAAGAAATAAGTAATTTTACAAACCCGCTCTAGAGTACAGTTGGGCCATCTCTGCAAATCTTATATCGTAACAGATTCCTAAGCCAATTTTCCAGCCATCTAGGTATAATGTATAGTAGTAATAATAATAATAATAATAATAATAATAATAATAATAATAGTAAAACGAAAAAAAGTCGTCTAACATGCGCTGAATGTTGCCAGCGAGTCACCAGCTGTCAGCGTTTTGGACTCTTGAAATGAAAATTTTCCTTTGACGTCAATGTCAAATAAGTGGACCTGGAGAGGAATTTTTGTTATAATTATGAAATTATTATGAAGATTTATTATAAAAATATGAATTATTGAAATGAAATTATGAGTTTTTGTAATGAAAAAAAGAATTATGGTTATAAAGACGAATTGGCTAACTGCTCATTGACTATGACAAGTGCAAATAGGTGGCATATTTAAAACGGTTATAAAATTAACGGTTATAATAATAATAATAATAATAATAATAATAATAATCCACTTTTCTAAATGTGGAAATATGATTGCCATCAGGGTTGAAAACAGTTGTTGTGTTGAATAGCTTTCCATCATTCCCTTTCTCTGGAACTGAACCTACATCAAATTTATTTCATTTTACTGAAGTTTAATTTAATTTTTTTTTGTAATTCATGTAATATTAAACTAATAATAATAAATTAATAAATAAATAGTATTTAAATAAAACCTGCTACTAAAAAAATCTTGTTCTCTTTAGCAACAGATGAGAACATTTTAACAGATGGACCATCTACAATGGATTCTGCATATTCATTGAAGTACTCATGTCCAAATGGAGAGTTACAGCATTCCTTACAGTTGTAAAAGATAAAATTAAAAGCAAATTTCAAACTATTGAATGAAAATTTATAAAATGAAATAAAAGTGAAATCACCTTCAATGTATACCTTGTATGTCAAGTTTTTCCCTAAATTTAGGGTTAGTGTAAATGTAAAATATGCGAGTTCTATCTAATAGTCTAATAAAAAATTTTACCCAATAAGAAACATAAAAGTAGAACACAAATTGTATAAACTATCAACATTAATTTGATTCAAACTAATTGTTGAATTAAAATTAATGAAAATAGAAGGAAATGAGGCAGATGAGATAACCCACAGGTAAGGCTACAATGTTTGGCTTGTGATCTAGGCATGTTTGCTTAACCAGACTACATATTTTGTTCAAATTTGCTGCTTTGTCAGACCCAACAGTGAACTGTATCAGGGCCAAACGTAATTCTGTTTTTAGAAATAATGAAAATTCAGATCAAATGATGAAATAATAAATTCTTATCAAATGAATTACTTGTTCTAAATTAATAAGTCAGCAAATCAACATAGGTATGCTTGACAATTCAATGAAGGCTATTTAAAATGAGATAAATTATTCAATATAATTATAATTTGGAAATTCTAAAAAAGTAAGAATTTGTCAAAAGTTCTCTGTAAATGTTGGGTACTTACTTTGTGCAGCCATTGATGACTGATTGATTGATGTTTGCTAACAACAGTTAAGTTATTAAGTATATCAATCTATCTATCAATATCAATCAATGCGCGTGATATTTCAAGTCTTGTCTTCCTATTTTAACACAAAACACCTGTTGTTGAAGGATTATTTTAATAATTAACAAATTTAATGCGAGTACATAGTAAAAATAAAATAAAAATTAATAAGCTCAATCACCTCACCTTTCTCAACAAACGTGTGTCTTCGCAAAATTAGCTTCTATGTGGGCACGGGCACCGATAAACTTTTCTAGTTTCGTTTTCGACCTTGTACCGGAAAAAAAATAACTTTTTGCAGCCATAAAATTAAATTTTGTAGATTTATGCTAAAATTCAATCAAATACATAGCCATATGTTGAAATGTTCAGCCCATACATCTGAATTAGCATCTATGATTGATTCTGCTAAATAAATTTCTTAACCATCTTCCTCATTCAAACATTGCACGGCAGATAACAAATAAATGTTTATTTCGTTAACTATGTAGACGGGCGATATTAGGTTTTTTAAAAATTGCATGCTCCGGTTGTTTGGTAGTTCGGTATAAATTAGAGTTTTATTTCTCTAAATTTAATTGAAAATGGTCGTTTTTGCTTGCAGTGTTTGCGGCGATTCTTTAAAATTGAGTCAAGTGGAGAAGCATTGCCAAACAACATGCCGGAATTGTCTGATGCTGTCCTGCATTGATTGTGGGAAAGAATTTTGGTTAGTAAAGAAAAAAAACTGAAAAAATGCATTTTATTAAAAATTTAAAATAAATATAAATTTAGAATTGCCGCACTGTATTTGCATATTTGTATTCTGAAGTAAATGGGAGCTTATTTTAATTCATGATAAATGTTTATTATTAAATTTAATTGTTAAATAAATTAAAACTGAAAAGTGGACTGAGATCATAAAACTAGTAATTATATTGGCAGTAAATAAGTAAAGTGATAGTGATTTTTTATTGCTAAAAAATAATTATATGCAAATTAAATAATTAATTATATTATAATTATGATCCAGGGGCCAGGATTATGCTCAGCACAACAAATGCATAAGTGAAGAGGAGAAATATTCTGGAAAGAATTTCAAACCCCGACCAGGTGCCAAGAAGGGAGAGCAGAAACATGAGTTGTGGACCCAGGTTCATAATTAAAATTATTTTCATTACTTTCTAAAAGTCATTCAAGAGATATTATAATGTTCATGCTACCTTATCAATTTTGTTTTCAGTTTTAAACTGTTGAATTGATATGGTTTTTTTTCTAAGTAGCTTTAAGAATTTCTAATTTAAAAGATTTCATTAAAAATTAAATTATTGTACATTATTCAATTGTACTAATGTTTATTCTTTTTATTTATTTAATCTTTCATTAATTAATTAATTTATTTATTCATTTATTTATTTTTATTATGTTCATAATTATAGCAAGTGCAACAGGCTGCATTAAAATGTAAAGCTAACAAAAAACTGACCGATCTGCTAACGAAGATATCCAACTATCCTAACATTCCAAGGAAGAAGGCTAAGTTTCTGGTGAATTTTTATAACAATAACTATATAATTATAATTATAACTTGAAACAATATTTATTCATTAATATAATTATTAATAACGTTATATTACAAAATAAGTATTATTATTACAATAAATATGCAAATATTGATAAATAATTTTTTTTCTCTCATTAGAATTTCCTGAAAAATAGTCTGAGGCTGTTTGACACAAACTTGCTTGACCAAGCTTGGGATGCTATAGTATGACAGTTTAATAAAAATAATAATAAATAATTTTAATTATAAATGATAATAATAAATAATAATAATAATTAATAATAATAATGATATTTTTTGTAATTATTCCGTTTAGTTTTATGGAATCTATGAATTTTTTAACCATGCTGTATTGATGAAATTTTTCCATATACTTATTTACAAATAGCAAAAGGAGAGTGCAGATAACAACAACAAGGACAGCGATAATGGAAATAATAATTATATGGATAATAATAATAATAATAATATGGATAATAATAACAATAACGTTAATGTTGGGGCTGAAGATGAGTTGAAGGATAAAGATAAGAAAAAGAAAAAGAGGAGAAGGGAAACAGAAAACAACAACAACAACAATAATAATAATAATAAAAATAGTGATAATAAAAATAATGATAGCTCTAATGATAGCTCGAACTTGGAGCCAGAGGTTAAAAAAAGAAAAAAACATGATAAGAATAAACAACTATCTGACTCTAAAGCTGTTGAAAATGTTGAAAAAGCCAACAACAATAATAATAATGATAATAATAATAATAGCAATAATAATGATTATAATAATAATAGTGTCATCAACATAGACAATATCTCCATGATAGAGCCTGTTTTTAATCCATCTTTCAAGTGGAAAAAAGTCATCACAAAAGTTTTAAGAGAGGCACCAGGTGGAGAGCTGCACATCAAAAAACTCCGTAAAAAAGTAGTTATTGTTACTGTTATTATTATTATTATAAATTATTATTGTTATATTTTTTTATTATTTTTATAATTATTCACATTCTACAATTAGGTGTTGAAAGAATATGCTGCCCTAAATACTGGCCAAGATGTATATAAAGGGCATTTTTTTAAGAAACTCGATGAAAAGTTAGCTGGAAGTTCGCGCTTGAAACTCGATAAGGATATGGTTTCACTTTTAAATAAAATTTAATTTTGTTTTTAGTTCTGTGTTGGTTGATGATAATAAAGAGGGGCTTTAATGTGATTTATAAATCAATTTTTACCATTGTTTGAGTCGTTAATTTTTTTTCTAATAATCTTAATCTGGGGGAGGATATCCCACCTTGAGGTAAAATAAGTTCTCCTTAAACGGAACTTGGAAAGTAAAGTTTGATTGGATCTATGTGTTTTGATTAGTCAGTTGTTTGATTGATATTTGAGAAGAATTTTGTGGTTTAAACCTCATGTTGGTGAATCTAATTAATAAATTCGACTTCTTGAGATTTCTTCATTTCGTAGTATATTCCGAAAAATAAAATTACAGACGTAAGGTCTGTATAAAACTTGAGACAGACTTGGTTGATAGCAAATGTGAAACTGTTAACTTCAGAAAGGCATACCACCAATATGATATTGAACCTTTAAACAGTTATCTACTGAATGTTCAAAGGTTCAAACCATCAAGAGGGTTGATTCGTTTATATATAGACATCTATTAACTTTAAGATGATGTTTCTCGTCACCTTTATAAATGTCTTCATCTCTTTTACGTCTTAAATAGTTTAAGTCTCATACGAATGTTATAGCTTGTTCTCTTTCTCTTTCATTTTCTCTCTCTCTCTCTATCTATCTATTCATCCATCTATCTATCTTTATCTGACATTTTTGGCTATCTAACTGTAACTAAATAATTTTTGTAATATCACATAAAAACAAGCGTTTATGAATTAGTTCGTTTATTCTTCTGTATCTTTGTTTGTTACGTCATCATGAAGTCATAATGGCGGTTCTAAATTGGGTAATTAGCTAAATATTTTCAAAAATAAAAATCAATAAAGTGTATGAATGAAAGAAAAGGTTAAAAAAATGAACTTAATTAAAAAATGATGGTCAAAATTAGAAACTCCACAGTCGCATACAGTATACATTCAGAACATATACCTACATACTTTTGAATATACAAACATACAATCAAATATACAAACAAATATACAACGAAATATACACATGTTTATACAGAAAAAAAACTGTGATATACAATAATACGAATAAATTCGAAATGGATATCAAATAAAAAATATATTTATAATAAATAAATTATTTAATTAAACAATAAATAAGTTAATTAATTATCCAATTAATAATTCTGCTTAATAATAGAATTGTAAATAAAAATGGCAAATAATAAAAAAGTAGTCTTCATCACACTAATTAAATGGCATGCTTCTGGATGGTTATGTGTTACTTAATACAAGCACGTACAAAAAATATAAGTACACTATCAAACGTACAATGTAAATACACATTCATGCATACAATTTAAGTAGTACACTTGCACAAAGAGTATACAAACACGTTAATATATATATATATATATAGTACATGATTGATTTGTTCTTTGGCTAAGACTGGTTTCCCAAGAAACTTTCAAGAATCTGTGAAATTCAAAAACGAAAATTTCATTAATGGAAAATTAATTAACGGTTAATATTTTTTTGTTAAAGTCGAAGTTGTTTGTGGCACGGTGTTGTAGCGGTGAAATGCTGGATTTGCGTTGGTCGAATTCGAATGCTAAGAGATTATTTTTCACGCCGTACGCGATTTTTTTCAAGTTGAAATCTAGAAATGACGATTCTTAACATATGATTCTTTCAAAACTTGATTTGAATTAAACTAAAGAGAACTAAAATATAGTACGCATACAAATACGGACACACACACACGCATACACACACACACGCACAGACTGACCGATATGATGTTATCAAGCCCAGTGAGGTAGCCGTCTTCGTGATTTCCGCAGCACCATTCTTTACGATGGTCCATATTAGGCGTGGATTGAGTTTTGGCGAAATCGATCAACCAGACGTTCGCCTCATTCAGTTCGTCGTAAACGAATAGTAGAGAACTTCCTATAAACTGAATTTTATTAATTGGTTGGTTGATTGGTTGGTCGATTGGTTGGTTGATTGGTTGATCGATTGGTTGGTTGGTTGGTCGATTGGTTGGTTAGTTCATGATTTCATTGTAATTTAAACAGATTTATCAATAATTTTAAACAATTCATCCATCATTAATCTATTTTTAATCGCCACCTCTTACTAAACATCCAACCATTAACAACAGAACCGCACCAACACCTACAACAACGCCAACCTCATGGCTTTTAAAATACTCAGATGATTCGAGACACACTTTTATGTGCCTCAACCTACGGAGGAACTTCTCACAGATGAGTTTGTTACCTTTCATGAAGTGCTCGGTTATAAACTGCATCACTTCGTCTCGCTTTCGTGTCGTCTTTAAATTGTTGTTTGGCGACTGGCCCTGTAACTGTTTTGAAATTTTTGTAGTTATTTTATTTATTCATGCATTCTTTTTTTTATCAGTTTATTCATTTTTTCATTTGTTCGTTCGTTTGTTCAATCATTCATTCATTAATTCATTCATTATTCCACTCGCTCACTCACTCACTCATTCATTCATTCATTGACATGACATACTAACTCTAATTGCTTCAATTCTGAACCCTAAATTAGCAGTGGAACTCATCCTCTCACGGAACTGTTGACGGGATTGAAACGACATTTCAAATTAATCATGATTTTAAAAAAATTAAACATGTTAAAATAATTAAATACCTCAAAATAATTTAAATAACGACAATTTTAGAAGCCCAACTATTCTAAATATCTCCATTTAAATGATGATTAGGCTTTAAAATATTGAATTCTTATTTCTACTGTTTAACGCAATGTTAACGACAACTTGTCATACACAAACATACGCACGCACGCACACACATACATAAAAACACACGTACATACAAACACACACACACACATACAAACACACACACACACATACAAACACACATACATAACATGCACTTGACTGAATTTTCGATGTTAAAAAAAGGTGACAGCCTGCGTTTGAGTTGAAGTTGAAAAAATGTAAATCAAGATAACACTCCTAGACAAAAATTACGTAGATAAACACGCAACTAAACAAACACATACACACACACACATAAACATACAAACACCTACACACACAAACATACAAACACACACACACACACACCTGCATATATCTCAGTTTAGTGACAGCTTTCTTCCCATGTTCCTCTTCTGTTGGTTCCTTAGGACAGATCTTAATCATCTTGTCGTACAGATCAACTCGACAAGTGTCGTTCGTTACTTCAGATTCTAAGAAAGTTCTGTAAGGGTACGTGTGTGTGTGTGTGTGTGTGTGTGTGATGTGTGTGTGTACATGAGTGTGTGTGTGTGTGTGTGTGTGTGTGTGACGTGTATGAGTATGTGTTTGTGCGAATATTAAAGATGCATGCGTATTCGTGTGAAATCGTGGAATCAACGATATGACGTCATTCATTTATTTAAGACTAAAATTAGAATAAAAACTACCATCTACAAATAGCTATAAATAGCATTATTCCTCTATAAATAGTATCGTCGTCAGCCAACAAAACCCAACAAATGTTGTACCGTCAGTACAAATACCGGTATGATGGTTGTGGTGAAGACGATGGTGACGATGACGACGAAGATGATGATGATGATTAACTGATGATGATGATTAACTGATGATGATGATTAACTGATGATGATGATTAACTGATGATGATGATTAACTGATGATGATGATTAACTGATGATGATGGTTAACTGATGATGATAATGATGATCAACTGATAATGATGATCAACTGATAATGATGATCAACTGATGATGATGAGGAGGAGGAGGATGAGGATGATGATGATGATGATGTGTAAACAAGAGCAACAACCTCGACAAATCATTTTTTTTCTCATTCTTGTTATATGCGGCGAATGTTAAAAGATTTCATAAAGATAAAATTAATCTAATCTTAGATCTTTTTTATTTAAAGACGCCACGCACACAAACACACACAAACACACTCTCACACACAAACACACACACACACAACCAATATTTGGATTACAGATTTATAAGAACGTTGTTGCTATTAACATGGAAAGAATCGAATAACTGTGAGATGGAAGAGATATAGGTAGATAGATGGATAGGTAGATAGATAGATAGATAGATAGATAGATAGATAGATAGATAGATAGAGAGAGAGAGAGAGAGAGAGAGGAAGAGAAAGAAAGAGAAAGCAAAGATGCACCGATAGAAGTATCATCATCATGATGGACGCGATAGTTTATTTACTGGCTTCTTTTTTTCCTTATCTGTTTTTCAGGTGCCTCTATTTAGCACCTGTTAGGTTTACACCAAAAACAACACTATCATCATCACAACCCAACATCGGCGTCGTCGTCGTCATCATTCAAACCACCCTCTCTTAATCATTATCTCGATTATCATCATCGTTATCATCTTCATCGTCGGCATCATTTTTAGCGCAAAACTAGATTCTGATGTTGTTGTTTACTATAAATCAATTCGTGTACTAACTCAGTTTAGACAAACCCACACACACACACACACACACACACACACACACACACACACACACACACACACACGTACGTACAACACACATACACACACACATATAGAGAGAGTGATATATTGTGGTTGGTGGAGCTTGAGTATAGAAATATTATAATTTGTGTACTTCACATTTGTATGTAACAAGAAAACAAGCAAGTAAACAAGAGCAAACACATCGAACGACACGCACAACCGCACACAGACGTTTGTACGTAGGGTCTGAACCACAGACGGATATGAACGGGTATGAACGCTTATGATAGATTATTGTCTTTCAGTTTCAGACAGCATACGAACCAGGTAACACCGTAATAAAAACAAGTAGCTAACCAATAACAACAAAAACAATAACAATAACAACGACATCATCATCAACAACAACAAAAACAATAATAATAATAACAACAACTGACCTGGTACCCATTTTGATATCCATGACATTAGGATCAGTGAAATACTGCAAAAGATCTTCTAACTCGATGTATGCTGTTGTGTCATCATCATCGTCATCATCATCATTGTTATCATTGTCATCATCATCGTCGTCATCATCGTCTATTTGGTTAAATATTTTTGCAGGCAAACATATGTTTTATGATGTCTGACTCACACAGCCGATCTATAACTGGACGAGTTACTACTACTACTACTACTACTACTACTACTACGACTACTACTACTACGACGACGACGACTACTACTTCTACATTCACTACTGCTACTATTACTACTAATAAAAGTAATAATAATATTAATAATTATTATTATTATTATTAGAGTAAAAATAATTACAACACCCCTACTACACTATATATATATAAAACCAAACCAACCGTACAAAATTCGATACCAAAAAATTAAACTATACAAAAAAAACAACACAAAACATACAACGCAATATATACAAAAACATACAGAACACAAAACATACAAATACATACGAAACGTACAAAAACACAAAAAAATACAAAAACACAAAACATACAAAAACATATAACACTTACAAAAACACAAAAACACAAAACATACAAAAACATATAACACATACAAAAACACAGAAACCAATAACACATACAAAAACACAAAAACATACAAAAAAAACCATCACTTACTTTGACCATTGCGCTCGACATGATGAAAAAACTTCGGACAGATGTTACACATAGGATCGGATTGGATTTTCCTGTATGAATTGAGTTCTAGAGACTTGTCGTCACATAACTTCATAATGGTTCCACAACTGTTGCTTAGAAAACTACCTGATAGCAGCAAATTTAATAACATTTAAAAAAAATCTCCTCTGATTTATTCAAAATCAGTATTAGCCGCCCTGTCCTGTCAGTCAGAAAAATACAGTATATGCAATTTTGTAAACATGTTGCTACTTATTTATTTTTAATGACTATTACATAGTCATTCAATGATTCGTTCGTTCGTTCGTTTGTTCGTTCGTTTGTTCGTTGGTTCATTCATTCGTTCGTTTCATTCATATTCTTCTATCTATTAATAGCTATCTATTTCCAAGTTAAGTTGCTATCAAAACTTAAGTGCTAAGCCCCACGCTTCATTAAAATTGATAGGAAGCATTTAAAAAGATAAAAATAAACATACGAATAATAAAATTCTCATTATTATTATTATCAGCACAATTAAGTTTGTATTCAGCATAAATATCTCTATAAATAGATGTCTTTTTTAGGGAAACAATTACAAGCTATTAAGCCATCGCCAGCCAGTTAGTAGTAGTAGTAGTAGTAGCAGAAACAGCAGCAGCAGTAGTAGTAGTGGTAGTAGTAGTGGTAGTAGTCCATAGAACAACATGAGTAGAAATGACCAAAAAAAAACATGAAACTGACCAGTATGACCGCCAAGCTGAATCCACGGGCTATCGAGCGATTTATTATTATCATTGTTGTTGTTGTTGTTATTATTATTATTATTGTTGTTGTTGTTATTATTATTATTATTATTATTATTATTTAAAGTAAGCGCTTTCAGATCTGAGGAAACGGAGTGAGAATTTTTGTCGCAGTTGACGATTTGCTGTTTAAAATGAAAAAAAAAATATGTGAAAATTCTTTTACTATCTCTCTCTCTCTCTCTCTCTCTCTCTCTTTCTTCTCTTCTTCTCTCTTTTCTCTCTCTTTTACTCTTTCTTTTTTTCTTTCTTTCTTTCTTTCTTTCTTTCTCTTATACCCTCTCTTTTTCTCTTGAGATTATTATGCATCTATCAAAACGTATTTCATTCACAGACATACAGTAACAGACTTTTAACGATTGATTGATTCATAAAAGAAATATGATAATTACACCAGGAGTTACAGTTAATTATCATAAATTATTCAAAAACAATTAATTCCGAGTAATTAATTATAATAATTATGAATAATTAATTAGTAAATTACCAGGCTCGACGATTGACTATGTTGAAATTCTTTGGAAAAATTTTCATTACTTCTCATGAGAGAATTCTTAGAAAAAATTCTTTGTTCGTTGTTGTCATCTATGGCAAGATTGTTGTTGCTAGCGTAAGTTTGCTCTTTATTATTACTATTATTCGAGTCGTTGTTGTCGTTGCTGCTGCTGCTGTCGTCATTGTTGTTATTATTCTTGTTATTTTCTTCAAAATTGAGGTTAACCATGTTTACTGAGATTCGGTGTTCTTCTGTTTCTTTGACGCTGTTGCAGATGATTTCTGCTGTAGTAGTAGTAGTTGTAGTGTAGTTGTTTTTGTTGCTATTACTTTTGTTTTTTATGTTTTTATTGTTTTTATTGTTATTATTTTTGATGTTTTTGTTGTTGATGCTATTGAAAGTATCCGGGCCGATGGATTGAATGTTTTCGGATTTTTTTCTCCCTTTTTTGGATCCCAACACAACACAACCTGACAAAAAATTACCCATTATAGTTAACATAACACTTGGCTTAACTATGAAAAAGTTCTATATAAATCGGTTATAATTAACTAACTAATTAATTGATTAATTAATTAATAATTGTATGTTTGTCTGTGTCTGTCTATCAAGTTCGATATATCCGAGACAGTTCGTAACTTAAAATCGCTTCAACGTCGATATATCCGAATATGATAATGTTTATCATAAATTTTACTGTATCCACAATTTTTTAAAGTTAGTTAGGCACGTACAACATTTATAATTCAATATATCCGATATTTAGGAATGTTTTAACAAATTAATTTTGCTATATATACAAACAAAAGAACGATATATCCGACATCTTTAAGCCTGCCACATTTATGTACGACCAATTTGAGTGAATAAATATACTTAGTATTTTTACTTACAAAAGTTGTATTGTATTGAATTAGTATTGTATTGTATTAGTATTACATTAGTATTAGTACTGTATTAGTATTGAATGCTATTAAAATCGTGATTAATAATACTACATAATTCATAATAATTCATTGTTATTCATAATTCATTGTTATTCATAATTCATTGTTATTTATAATTCATTGTAATTTATTTCTTAGAGTCAGTCAATCATTTTCTATACACACACACACAAACACACACACACACACACACACACATATATATATATATAATAATATGTACGATATATGATATAATAGAAATATTTTATCCATTAACCGTTAAAGTTGAAATTTGTTTTTTTGAATTAAACTAAATTTAAAGTTAATTATAGATAGCTAATTACTGATATGAAATTAAATTAATGTTATTAGCAACAATTGAGTACATTAATTCTACATACATTTATTTATTATTTATTGATACATTTATTTATGAAATTAAAGTTTGAATGACTTGAGAATAAGCGGTTTATATATAATATAGATGAACGACTATTATAAAACCATATATCATGATGCTATACATACATACATACATACATACATACATACATACATACATACATACATACATACATACATACATACATACATACATACATACATACATACATACATACATACATACATACATACATACATACATACATACATACATACATACATACATACATACATACATACATACATACATACATACATACATACATACATACATACATACATACATACGTACACACACACACACATACATACATACTTACATTCATACATATATACATTCATTCACGTTATCATTTTCATCATCAGTATTGTCAGTATTGGCAGATTATTAATGTCATTAATAATAATAGTAATAGGAAGAAGAAGAAGAAGAAGAAGAAGAAGAAGTAGAAGTAGAAGAAGAAGAATTTTGTCATTGAATTTAATACAAATTTATTATAATAAGAAAAATTATTATTATTATCATTATTTACCTTTTCTTCTTCTTTATTCGCTTCTTAGTTTTGCAACTTTTTATCTAACCATCATCAGCATCGTCGTCAGCATCGTCACCATTAAACATGCATCTTTGTGATCTGTTCTGATCGTTATCTAAGTTTTCCTTTCTTCACTCATGACAACTTTATCATTAATGTCTACTCTGTCTTTTCTTCCTCATCCTTTTCTTCTTCTTCTTCTTATTATTATTATTATTATATTATTATTATTCTTGTTATTGTTTTGTCGGAGTGTTATAAACAAACAAGCAAACAAACAAACAAACAAACAAACAAACAAACAAACAAAGAGAAACAAAAAACAACCACACAAAGATATTCACTCCTCTTAATACACTATCCAGTTTCTCTCTCTTTTTCTCTTTTTCTCTCTTTTTCTCTCGCTCTTTCTCTCTATCTATTCTTTTCTTTCAAAAGTAACACATGATATTTCATTCTTTTGTATTTGTGCATTTTGCAATTCAAATCGATATACACCCAAATTAGCAACACGCTGTATGTAAAATACTCGCTTGTAAATATATAAAGTACCAGACAATGGGGTTTTCATTCATTTATTCTTTCGTTCATTCGTTTGTTTAGTCATCCATTCATTCGTTTATTCATTCGTTCATTCATTCATTCATTTGTTCATATCTGCCACAGTCAGCTATGTAGTATTTTCATTGACGCAACTACTTATGTTGTGTATTTAAATAGCAGATATAATTTTCTCTCTTTTTCTTTCACACTCTCTTTCTCTCTCTTTTTCTTGCACTCTCTCTTTCTCTCTCTTATTGTCTGTGTTGGTAGAGTTTATTTATTTGCAAAGAAAAAAGTGATGAACAACCGAACGAAAAATCGAAATGATTGAGTGAAAGAACGAGCAAATGAGTGAAAGAATGAGCAAATGAATGAATGAATGAATAAATGACTGAATGATAGATGAATGATGAATGAATGACTGAATGAATGAAAGAAACAAAATGTGTGGCTGTCTTTGTAATAAATCTTTAAAAGGCCATATATAAATATATAAATGATTGAACAGGAAAACTTAACAATTGAAGAATGAATGAATGATTGAATCAAAGATGAATAGATGAAGAAATGAAGAAATAAAATAAGAAATGCTTGATGAAGTGAATGAAAGAATGAAAAAATAAACAGACATATAAAGAAGAAATTAATCGTATAAACAGAGAACAAATGAAAGAAAGAATGAATGAATGAATGAATGAACGAGTGAAAAAAGCTAATTAATGGATGAATGAATGAGCAAATGAATGAACGAACGACCGAATGAATGCATGAATGAATGAATGAAGATTGAAGAGCCTTTGAATGGTAACTCGCGTTACAAATTCATTTCACTGACGTCACAACTTCAGTTAACTCATTAAAATTCTGTTTGTGTGTGTGTGTATGTGCGTGTGTGTGTGCGTGTGTGTGTGCGTGTATATATGCTTTTGTGGATGGGTGTATTGTATGCGTAATACTAGAATTCACACGCCTTTATGCAGGTATGTTTTTGTTTATTATGTATGTATGTTTGTGTGTGTACGTTTGCATGAATGTTTGTATGTGTGTGTGTGTATGTGTGTGTATATTTGTGTATGTTTGTGTGTGTGTGTCTATATACACATATACCTGCAATTTAATGTTTTCGAATTTGAGCACATGTTTCTAATTGTATAAAAATATATGGTTGTAAAAAAAATTATTCATGATTGTATGTTTGTGATTGCAGACTTCTCTCTTTCTTTCATCCAATTCTTTCCCTCTCGCTCTCTTTCTTCCTCTCTCTCCTTATATATATACATATATATATATATATATATATATATATATGTGTGTGTGTGTGTATGTTTGTATGTAGTATATGCAAACGCATCGGTTTTTGTGTTTATGTATGTTTGTACATGCACATGTATTGTATGTGCTTAACAATGTTTACATAGCTACTAATGTACGTGTGCGTCTGTGTGTGTTTGTGTGTGAAAGTCATAACAATAATAATAATAATAATAATAATTCAATAATAATAATAATTCAATAATAATAACAACAACAACAACATTAATAATAATATCAATAATAATAATAATAATATATCAACAATAATAATAATAATGATAATAATGATAATAAAGACGATGAAGATGATGAAGGTAACACCAAGCCAGAAGTGATAGCGTTAGCAAAACATAATCACACTAATATATTGATAGCAAGGACAAGTAGCGCGGTGATATATCATTAACAATTATGATGATGATTAATGATGACGACGACGATGATGATGATGAGAGGAGGACGATGATGATAACGATGACAAAGCTTGTAATTTCTAATTACTGTTAAGAGTGTCAAAGAAGACACAATTGTAAAGGATGTAGATTTGTTTATACACACACACATACATACACACATATATACATACACACTCATACATACAAAGGCATAAATACACACATACAGACAGACAGATACAAAGAGATACAGACAAACATAGAAACATATTTAAGTGCGTTATCTATCCATTCACGACTTCTCTG